AAGCTGTATAAAAAAAAAAAGAAAAGAAAAGAAAAGAAAAAGAAAGAAAAGAAAAAAGAAAAACCTGAAACAGCTCTTAATAGTTGGTTATGCTTGTATTGGAAGAGCTGAAATTTCAAATCAAGGACAGCATAGAAATCCAGATGTTAGCAACATCAGAAAGCTTATTCTACCATTAGGCCTAGAAAGACAGAAGGAGAAAATGTTTCTACCATCAGAGTTCAAAACCAGAGGTCTTCTGGATTCAGTGAGATACTGGGGGCTCCTTGGAGAGAGCCAGGACTGTCTAATGGGGACATTAAAATATCAACCATAAAAAAGATTATCTGCTGTAGGAGATCCCTTTAGAGAGAGGGAGAGACAGAGAGGAGGCCAGAAATAATCTTGCTTATGCTTTCCTTCACCCAGTGTTTACCATTGCAGAATGTACATGGGTCCCATAAGGTGAGGAAACCTGGGAAATGTCAATTCCTCAAATGCAGAGAACACTGGGGAAGGATGAGGACTAAATCTGAAATCAGAATTGTAATTTAGAGAAGGAAACTAAGATGTGTCCAGTAAATGAATAATTTTAGTGTGTAATGATTATTGCAACGATTAGTGTATTAATAAGATAATATGAAAACACAGAATTCAAAGAGCAGTGAACTGAGATTAGAATCATGGAGAGCAATGGCATTTAAGACATAAATAACAATAAAAATAATTCTACTTACACTTACAATGTGTCTCCTATGCATTGCTCTGTGCATAGAATATATCATCTCAATATTCATCTGAGAATCATAATTTGGGTACAAAGCTTAAATAATTTATTTTTTCAGGTTGGCAAGAATGGAATTTTTTTTTTCTGAGGGGGGATGGAGTTTCACTCTTGTTGCCCAGGCTGGAGTGCAATGGCAAGATCAAGGCTCACTGCAACCTCCGCCTCCCAGGTTCAAGCAATTCTCCTGTCTCAGCCTCCCAAGTAGCTGGGATTACGGCATGTGCCACCACACCTGGCTAATTTTGTGTTTTTAGTAGAGATGGGGTTTCACCAAACTGATCGCCAGCTCCTGACATCAGATGATCTCAGCCTCTGAAAGTACTGGGATTACAGGCATGGGCCACTGTGCCCTGCCAAGAATGTGAGTTTTGTAGAATGATATAACCCATATTTTTCTGACCCTAGAGTCCTTAGTATTTCTCCCGTACCATGTGCTCATCCTCTTCACATACATCTCCTATCTTTCACCCTGTCTTTTCCTTTTCATTTCAGTTTTTCACTGTCTGTCAAAATCTAGAACCTTATCTCCTATCTACTCTGAAACCAACAGCAGGTTGACTTCCATTCTAACCAACATTGGCATTGCACTAATTAAAATTGATACTGAGTTCTAAAATCATTAGGCATTTTTTTTTATTGCATTTTAGGTTTTGGGGTACATGTGATGAACATGCAAGATTGTTGCATAGGTACACACTTGGCAGTGTGGTTTGCTGCCTTCCGTCCCCTCACCTGTATCTGTCGTTTCTCCCCATGCTATCTCTTCCCACCTCCCCACCCCCCGCCCCTCCCCCATTTCCCCCCAACGGACCCCAGTGTGTAGTGCTCCCCTCCCTGTGTCCATGTGTTCTCATTGTTCAACACCCACCTATGAGTGAGAATATACGGTGTTTGATTTTCTGTTCTTGTGTCAGTTTGCTGAGAATTATGGTTTCCAGGTTCATCCATGTCCCTACAAAGGATGTGAACTCATCGTTTTTGATGGCTGCATAATATTCCATGGTGTATATGTACCACATTTTCCCTATCCGGTCTATCATCGTTGGGCATTTGGGTTGGTTCCAGGTCTTTGCTATTGTAAACAGTGCTTTTTGAGACTCTGTTTTACTCCATACTTCCTTGAGATTTCACATTAAATATTAGTGTTCATTAAAGGTCTTTTATTTAACTTTGTCCTCATCACACTCTTGGATTCACAATTATATCTAAACTCTTAAATGTAGCCTGCATAATTCCAATTCCCAAGTCTGATTTCCAGCTCTGACCTCCAACTTCAGTACCAAACCCACACATCAAACTGTGTACTAGGCTTATTTATTTAGATGTCCTAAAGACACCCCAGACGCAGCAGGGGTATTTCACTTTTCATACTAAAACTGTTTCTCTTCCAGTATTTTCCGTTTTAGTCCATTTTATCTACTTGCCCATTCACCAAAGTCAGAGACTTAAAACCATTTCCTTACCTCTAATTGATAGTTCAGTTCTGCTTGACTTTGTCCCTATGTATTAATCATCACTTTTACTGCCCACGGTCAGGTCCTCATTGTTTCCTGGACAAGAGTAGATGCTATTCTCTCCACTTTATACTTATCCTGCTGAGGCAGGCAGATCACTTGAGTCAGGAATTTGAGACCAGCCCGATCAACATGATGAAACCCTGTCTCTACCAAAAATAGAAAATTAGCTGGGTGTGGTGGCACATGCCTGCAATCCCAGCCACTCAGGAGGCTGAGGCAGGAGAATTGCTTGAACCCAGGAGGCAGAGGTCTCAGTGAGCCTAGATCGTGCTATTGTACTCCATTGGGCAACAGAGTGAAACTCTATCTCACAAAAAAGAAAAGAAAAGAAAAGACATTATCCTATTATATAAATGCTCTCAATGCAATCTATATACAATAAACATGTAACCAGGTTTCCCCAGTGTGTAAAATCGTATCAGGTGAAATAGAATTAAAGTGAAAAGCCAAGTCTGTGGAAATATCAGGCATCAAATAACAGTCCTTATGGCCTTAAGAATTTACTTAATTTTTTTAAGAATCTATTTCATTACTTACGAAATGGAAACATAATTCCTACCTCACTAACACATTCTAAGAAGGAGACAAAGAACATCATCTGTCATTTTTACCAGGTAGTGGTCGTGATTTACATAGCACAATGTGATCTGTTCTTGTTTGTTCTGTTCCATTCTGTATTGTTGACCTGGTCATAGTCTTTCTGAGCTCCAGATCCATATAGCTAAGTACTTCCTTTTGCGTTTTACAAAAGTACGTAAAATAGACTGTATCCAAGATTGAATTTCTGATCTTATCACACCATTAAACTCACAAATGTGGCCCTATTCTCGTTTTCACAATCTCAGTGACTGATACCACCACCATTACCCAAGCCTGAGAGTAGAAATGGCATTGTTGCTTCCCTCCCTACTGCAACAAAAGCCCAGCTATCTGTCTCCCATTTACTCTACTCTAAAATACATTTATTCACTAAGTGAGAGTGATCTTTTAAAGACACAAATTAAACCATGCCACCATCTTTCTTGAATTATTCAATCTTTCCTTGGTTACAGAAACATAATTTGTGGCAAAGTTGAAAAGTCATTCATGACTTCTCTCTGCCCTGTATGATAACATCCCTCCTTGTGATCAAAACCTCAGTCACACTGTCCATCTTTCTGTATATAAATGAAATCATGTAGTTTGAACTCTCTTATGGTCACCTTTAATCCACTAAATGCTATAAGATGCATTTGTGTTGCTACATGTTAAGCAGCATTTGATTCTTTTCATTTCTGTGTAATATTTTATACTTTGACTATACCATAATTTATCAATTCTACTATCGATAAACGTTTAAATTGCTATCAGTTTGAGGTTTTTATGAATATTGCTGTCATAAGCATTTCTATACATGTCTTTGGATACACATATGCATGTGTTTCTGAATGTCTACAAATGTAATTACATGGTAACAGATTTATCATGTATCCAGCTTTCATAGATACTATTAAATGTTTTCCAAAGGGGTTATACTATTGTACACTTTCACCAACAGAGTTTGAGAGTTTCTGTTGGTCGATATTATTAACAAAATTTGAACCATCAGTCTTATCTCTTCTCTTTTTTCCCTTCCCTTCCCTTCCCTTCCCCTCCCTACACTTTTCTCTTATTTTCTCTCCTCTTCACTTCTTTCCTCTCTTCCTTCCCTTTCTCTTTTCCTTCCGTATCCCCTCCCCTCCCCTTCCCTCCCTTCTCTTCTCTCCTATCCTCTCCTCTCTCCTTTTTTCTTCTCTCCATTATGTATTTTTCCTTCTTCTCCTTTGCCCATTCCACCCTCTCTCTTCCCCTCTTCCTTCCTTCCTTTCTTTATTTCTTCCTCCTCCTCTCTTTCCCTCAATACTTCCTTTTGGATATGCTTATGGGTGTGTATTTGTCTGCCATTGTGGCATTATTTGAATTCAGAAAAGAGTGAGAAACTATTGGGATCTTCATTCCTGGGTCTTATTTCATATATATATATGAATATATATATATATATATGAATATATATATATATATATATTTTGAACACAGTTGAAAAAACTTCTGTGCTAGCATTTTCCCAGAAACTTCATTAACTTTAATCTGGCTGAATATGGTAAATCTACTTTGTACTTTCTCTGCATTTTTTTCCTTAGTCATACCATAATTTTAAACAATCATAATATTTATATGTAATATTTGATTTTATATGTCATTAAAATGTTACCCTTAAAATGCATGTTTTCAGAACCTATTTCAGTAACTGGCAAATAAAGCATATTCATTTTTAAAATATTCTTGTAATGGATATTTATTTCATTATGGTAAAAAAAATAAGAGTTTTTTATAAGAAGAATTTACCAAAAGAAGAAAGAAGTAAGCAAGCTTAAACTGAAACAATAGATTTGTCCATTCCAATCTCTTAAAATTCCTTTGGAGACAAAAATCCCTAGAGACAAAGAGGAACTTTTACATAGAGTTAACTTGCTAAAACATCTGCTTCTAGTTTTCTTCATGTTTTCTTAGTATAAAGTGACAGAAACAAAAACTTAAACTCTAAGATACATTCCACTATATCAGACTAAAACATTTCTGCATAAATGAAACTGGGAGCATATTTTTAGAAATAACTGCCCAAAGAGATGTGGTTGGGAGATATGTAGGGGAGAACAGGGTTTCTGAGTCAAGACACACATGACAGAACAGCCAATCTCAGGGCCAGTTGAATGAAACAGAGGAATGAAGGTTCATTTTGCATTCTCACAAACCGATGAAACTCTGCTTATCTTAAACCAAACCAACTTGCTCACAAGAGCAGGGAGAACAGGACCAGCATAAAAGGCAGGGCAGGGCTAACTGTTGCTTTCACTTGCTTCTGACATAACTGTGTTCACTAGCAACCTCTGTCAGACACCATGGTGCATCTGACTGGTGATGAGAAGTCTGCCGTTGCTGCCCTGTGGAGCAAGGTGAACGTGGATGAAGTTGGTGGTGAGGCCCTGGGCAGGTTGGTATCAAGTTTACAAGGCAGGTTTAAGGAGGTGAAAGGAAGCTGGGCATGTGGAGACAGAGAAGACTCTTGAGGTTCTGAAAGTCACCGACTCTGTCTCTTGGGCTGTTTTCCAACCTTTAGGCTGCTGGTGGTCTACCCTTGGACCCAGAGGTTCTTTGAGTCCTTTGGGGATCTGTCCTCTGCTGCTGCTGTTATGGGCAACCCTAAGGTGAAGGCTCATGGCAAGAAGGTGCTAGGTGCCTTTAGTGATGGCCTGGCTCACCTGGACAACCTCAAGGGCACCTTTGCCCAGCTGAGTGAGCTGCACTGTGACAAGCTGCACGTGGATCCCGAGAACTTCAGGGTGAATCCAGGAGATGCTCCATTTTCTCCTTTTATTTTCTAATCTTACATTTTGGTTCTTTTACACATTTTTATCTATTTTACTATATTTTATCATTTAATGCTTCTAAATTTTTGTTAATTTTTTATTTCAATATTCTGCTTTTTTCCTTTCTCACAATCTTGCTATTTTAAAAATTAACTTATTTAATATCCTGTCTTTCTCTCCCAACCCACTTCCTTCAATTTTTTTTCTCTAACCATAGCTCATATTATGCATACCAGCTCTCATCTGCAAATTCCGTACTTGGAATAATACTTTTGTTTCTCCATGTGGGGATGGGAGAGGCTCCAACTCAAAAAGGAGAGGCATAGAATGCTGTTTTAGAGGCTATAAATGATTTACAATGAGGAATAATTGAAACTTTATAAATTAGGCAGTAAATGGGATGGAAAGGAAAGGGAATATTTGATTATGAAAGATTAGAACATTACACTGGAAGTGGGGCAGACGTCATTACTGCGAGACAGCCCATCATCACATTGATTAATTAATTAATTTGCATCTATTAATCTGTTTATAATAATTAATTTGGATATGCTATATACAAATACAAAATTAAAACTACTTTGAAATTAATTTGTATATAGCATTATACAGCACATATAGCATATATGTATACATGTAGACTATGCTAGTTAAGTACATAGAGGGGGTGTGTGTATGTATATATATATTACATGTATGCATTCATATATGTACTTATTTATGCTGATGGGAATAACCTGGGGATAAGTTTTGTCTAAGATTTGGACAGAAAAAAATGGGTGTTGGCCCAGTTTCTCAGAAGCCAATCTATTTCTCTGTTAACCGTATGCATGTATCTGCCTACCTCTTCTCACAGCTCTTGGGCAATGTGCTGGTGTGTGTACTGGCCCGCAACTTTGGCAAGGAATTCACCCCACAGGTTCAGGCTGCCTTTCAGAAGGTGGTGGCTGGTGTGGCCACTGCTCTGGCTCACAAATACCATTGAGATCCTGGACTGTTTCCTGACAACTACAAGAAGACCCTATTTCTCTAGATTCTATTTTCTGAACTTGGGAGCACAATGTTTACTTCAAGGATATGGCTTCTGCCTAATAAAGAACTTTCAGCTGATTAATTTCCCTTGTTTCATTTCTTTGTCCAGGTATGTAAGAAGGTTCCTGAGGGTCTACAGATAGGGAGCACTTGTGCCTTTTACAGAGAGAATGTGGGAAATTAAAAAAGCAAGAGAACTGTACAAAGCATTAATGGATAACACATTTATCTCCAAAAAAACAGAAATTATTAAAAACTCTTGATATAGAGATGATACTGGTACTGTAGAGGCTCTAGGGAAGACCTCAACCCTCAGACATAGCCTCAAGGCTAATGCTCTGATTAAACTCCAACAATTACTGAGAAAATAATGTCCTCAATTAGAGGCACAATGATTTCTCAAGACAATGTTACGTTCTCTTTCTTCCTACTTCCTTTGCCTGCACATTGTAGCCTATAATACTATAGTCCATTAAGTGTTCCTGCTCTAAGAAATAGTTTCCTTTTCTTACTGGCCCCAGAACATCTCTGTAAAGAATTTCATCTTATCCTCCCATATTTCAGGCAAGATTCACTGCTCGCGTATTACTTGTGAACTCTCTTGACCCCAGCCTCAATAAATTTTTTGATACTACCCCAAAAAATCTTTCCAAACCCTCTCCCTACACCCATTTTCTATATTTTTCTTATACGTGAACACATACACACACACACACACACACACACACACACACACACACACTCATTCCATGCTTTATAAACATTTCTGCCTATTCTGTAACTTCTTACATGCTTACTGTGCCTTACATTAAATTCTTCAATGGGCAACAAGTAAATATTCAAGAAAATAGCTAATAAATTAATAAATGAATGAATGAGTAAATGAAAGAATAATTATTCCTTTCTTTAGAACTTCAGGAACTAGAGGATAATATGAATAATACCATTGCACAGTGTTCCTTTGGTGTTAATGCTACAACATACAAAGAGGAAGCATGTGGTAAACAACCAAGCAGTAGTTTTCTTTCTGATTACAGGTAGTAATTTTTTTCTTTGAGCACCATTTTTGCTATAGGTAAAATTAGAAGGGCTTTTAGAACTTTCTCACTTGTATACATTTAAAAAAATCAGTATTACATACCTGTTGATTAATTTTAAACATACTTGATACCTAAACAGAATCTGTTGCTTCCTTGTGTTTAAAAGCGCTTTCATAGTAACTCTGTCTGTACTGCCAGAATATGTTGACAATGCATTATATTTAACTGTTTGTATAACATTATTTTCAATTGACTGGCAGCAGAAGCTTTTTTATATCCACATGTTTTCCTTGGGTCATTATACTTAGTAGGCTCTGAGAACTCTTTGTATCTGGATAGGATATTTAGGAACCACTGGTTTACGTATCAGAAGCAGAGCTACTCAGGGCATTTTGGGGAAGATATTAATGAACAAATTATAGACTGAAACATAAATTTCCCTGTAATAATTACATGTGTACTTGAGCAAACTTGTGTCTATGTCAACTTTACTGCTTTTTGGTAAGATATACAACTTTTTAAAGTGAACTAAACTATCCTATATCAAAACTATTTTGTGTGTATGTGGTTTGTTTCTATGGGTTCTGGTTTTCTTGGAGCATTTTAATTTCATTTTAATTAACTAATTCTGAGAAGATACTAAGCTATGGTTACTGAGAGATTGTGAATCTGGGAGAGAAGTCTGTAGCTAGTGGCTAGACTGTGCTTGACCTAGGAACATATACCCTAGATTGCTTAAATATCTCAGGGAATTTTAGGTTAAACAGTAGAGCATATATAAAAATACTCTAGTCAAGTACTGTTTTTGAAACAAATGATAAAACCACACTCCCATAGATGAGTGTCATGATTTTCATGCAGAAAGTTAATATTCATTCTCTTAAGTATATTCAGACTAGTGCCATTCTAGTATAAAATTAGAATGTAACATTCTAATATAAAATTAGAAAAAATAGAATATAAAATATTCCAGTATAAAATTCGAATATAAATCTAATTTAAAATATAAAATATATAAAATATAAAAAATTAGAATATAATTCTAACATATTAAAAAATAGAATATAAAATATTCTAGTATAAAATTAGAATATAACATTAGACTTAAGGAAGATTAACAGACTGGAATAAAGAAACGAACCTCGGTCTCCCGCGCTGTCTCTTTTTTGAGGACGTGTGTGTGTGCGCCTGTGGGCGTGTGTGCATGTGTGTGTGCATGCGTGTGTGTGCGTGTGTGCGTGTGTGTGTGTGTGTGTGGTGGTCAGTGGGGCTGGAATAAAAACAGAATAGACCTGCACATGCTGTGGGACCCATTGACAGAGTAGAAGCAAGCTCACAATTATGAAGATGTCAGTGAGCTTGAGTAGTTTTTCAGGACATTTGAATGCTAATTTAGATTTGAGCCTGAGGCTCTGAACATAAATACATTTGCACTATTGGTCACTTCTTAAAACTTATTTTTGCTTGGTATGCCTGGGCTTTTGATGGTCTTAGTATAACTTACAGCCTTGTCCCTGCAGGGTTATGGGTAATAGAAAGAAAAGTCTGTGTCACACTCTAGTTACACTAAGTAGCAACCGTTAGAAAACCAGTGACTGCCTTGAAACCAGGATGATGGTATTTGCAGCAGCTGCCAACACAAGAGGAGGATCCATAGTTCATCATTAAGAAAAGAAAACAAAATAGAAAAACTTAGGAAAACTGGTTCTGAGCATAAAAAGTTGTAGGGTAAGTCTTTAACAAGGTAACAATTTCTGCCAATCAGGATTTCAAAGCTGTTGACTTGACAATTTTGCTCTTTCAGAATAATATAAATATATCTTACATTATAATTTTAGGTCTGTGGATTTTCTTTGACATGGGATACTTGCAAAAGACATTCAAACTTCCCTAGAACACTCGATTTCACATACACATGGCTCTTCTATCAGGGATGTGAAATAAGGTCTTGAAAATAGTCTGATCTAAAACAATGCTAACGCAGGTTTAAATTTAATAAAATAAAATCCAAAATCTAAAAGTCAAGTCAAATCTATATGTTTTAACATTTAAAATATTTTAAAGACCTCTTTTCCTAGCATGCAACATGAGAAATATTTTCTCAGGGATACACATACTCTTAGATCTTCATTGCTTTAGGTTTTTACAGAAGAAAGAATATAAAAGAAAATACTTAAACTTCATCACGCTTACCCCATAATCATATATAGGCATAATTTTTTAACCTAGGCCCCACATAGCCATAGAAGAGCCAAACCTTTTCTGCATGTGTGAGAATAATTAGAGTAAATTTATTCACAAGTAACTGATGCGGGTTGAGACAGGTAGAAAAAGTGAGAAATCTTTATTTATTTAGCAATAATAGAGAAAGTATTTAAGAGAATAGAACAATGAAAATAATAACATTTTCTTGCAATAGCTAGAAATAGAAAATCCAGTTTCTTTTGGTTAACCTGAATTTTATTTTATTTTATTTTTTGTAATTGTAGTTTCAGTGTTAGAGCTGAAAGGGAGAAGTAGGAGAAACATGGAAAGTAAAAATATAGCACTTTTCTTACTAAAAGGACATGGGCTTCCAGGTAGGTGCAGAATTCGGAATGACTGACAGGGCCTTAAGGGAACACAGAGACCCTACGCTGACCTCAGAAATGCTTGCCACCTTTGCTGTTTTCATTACATCTTTTAACAGCACGAAGCAGAACTCTATGCTTCAAAAGTTTTTTCTCTCACCTGAGGAGTTAATTTAGTACAAGAGGGAAGAAAGGGCAGGGGTATGGGAGAAAGGAATTAATGGTGAAAAGCTATAGAGATAAAACAGTAAATTTTAGTAGAGAAGGTTTAAACAAACAAAACACAGAGAGAAATAGAAACTTGAATCAAGGAAATGACTTTAAAACACAGTATTCTTAGTGGACTAGGGGGACAAAAATAATCTGAGCCAAGTCTGGAAGACCTTTTCCTTTCCTACCCCTACTTTTTAAGTCATAGAAGCTTCTCTGTTTTGCCAGAAACTTTTTCAGAGTAGTCCAGGCAGAAACAGTTAGATGTCCCCAGTTAACCTCCCAACTGACACTATGGATTAGCCCATTTTTAGTCACACTTTGGGTTGTGAGTGACTTTTTACTTATTTGCATTTTTTATTGCAGTAAGAGGTCTCCAGTTTTTCATCTCTGGTTTTCCAAAATCTAGTAAGTAACTGTTACACAGAACACATTGATTTGTATTTATTCTGTTTTTAGACATCATTTATTAGTTACATGAGCAAATTAAGAAAAACTAAACAACAACAAATGAATGAATGCATATATATTTTTTCTTACCAGAGGTTTTAATCCGAATCAGGAGAAGGTATACTTAGAACTGAGGTAGAATTTTCGTCCATTCTGTCCCGTAATTATTTGGCATATTCTGGAGACACAGGAAGAGATTCATCTACTTATCCCTAAGCTGAATTATAGCAGGCGAAACTCTTCCACTTTTTGTGCATCAATTTCTTATTTGTGTAGTAACAAAATTGAGAAAACAATCTTCAATATGCTTACCAAGTTGTGACTCCAAATGTTATGTAAATACATTTATAAAGGAAGATGTTTTTCAGTAGCGATTTGTACTGATGGTATAGGGTCAAGAGACATGTCATAGAGGGAGGGCTGAGGGTTTGAAGCCAAACTCCTAAGCCAGTGCCAGAAAGGCAGGTATGGCTGTCATCATTTAGACCTCACCCTGCAGAGCCACACCCTAGGGTTGGCCAATCTACTCCCAGGAGCAGGGAGGGCAGGAGCCAGAGCTGGGCATAAAAGTCAGAGCAGAGCCATCTATTGCTTACACTTGCTTCTGACACAACTGTGTTCACTAGCAACCTCAAACAGACACCATGGTGCATCTGACTGGTGATGAGAAAGCTGCCGTTACCGCCCTGTGGGGCAAGGTGAATGTGGAAGACGTTGGTGGTGAGGCCCTGGGCAGGTTGGTATCAAGATTACAAGGCAGGCGTAAGGAGGAGAATGGAAGCTGGGCATGTGGAGACAGAGAAGTC